GAAGGAGGTCAAGAGCATATTTTTGGTCTTATTTTTGGGAGGCCTCTTTCATTCAAACTGGAAGCTTTATGGTCATGCCTATGTTATAAGTAATGAGACCGAGACCCCAAAACAGCTAGTAGACCCTTTTTCGTGGTAATACAAATACTACTTTTTTCATGGTAATGACGTCTTTAGTTTTTGAATCCTCATTTCTGCACCATGCTGTTTCTTGTCAACAAGAAAGATGTCTGAAGTTCAATTGAATTACGAATGAATTAAACGACGTCTTTGACTCCTTCAATGAACAAAGCTGATGTACATACTCAGTTTACCGGTTACATGATGTTACATATGGCTCGTGTGATGAGTGAACATCTACAGTGAGCGGTAAAATGTTTACTCCGAGGTGACAATGCAGTAAGGACAAGGAGCATATTGAAAACTGGTAACTTAAGTAAAATTCGTAAAATGACCGTTCGAAAATTGAGAGACCGTAGAGTGTGTCCACAAATTGCTCTCAAACTGCCCCCCACGGCAGTACTGAAAAGCCCTAAGCCAACAAAACATATATCCTCTTTTAGTGTTGTAATGCACGCAACTTAATCGCCATCGACATTTCGTGGGAGAATATGTTACATAAAACTTTTGAACAATGAGAGCGTTTCATTCTTAAAAAAGAAGTGCATGCATTGTATGACTATACCATGCTCGTGGGCAAGTGGACGCTTCTTAACCTCTGCGCCAGTTTCATGTATCGCTTCGTCACTAAGACTTTCGGACATCTGCAATATCCGCATAGCACTGATTCTGGATCCGCACGGCGGGGCAGGCAATTAGGATCTTGGCATCGCCTCTGCCCGTACAACGCTGTATGGGACAAATTTGTACAAATAAGGCGCCGTTAGAAAGTCTGTTGTGCCACATTTGTGGCGCGGCGCTGGCTACCGCAGTGCGCTACCTCCGTCCTTTGATCTTTGTATGTGACCTTGAACTTTCACTTTGACTCTGTTCACATCTGAAAACACAGACTGGAAACGCCAACGGGCGTTCTAATCGTGCTTTATTTATACGGATTAGTCCATACAGCGGCAGTGCGTCGCTACGCCGTCCTTTGACGCTGAATTTGACCCTGAATTTTGACTTTGGCTCAGATTTTTTTGGAATCTGAGGCTGTAATCGACAGCTGGCTTTCTTATGACGCCTTATTTACGCATATCCGTCACATACAGCAGTAATACGACGCCACATCGCCCTTTCACCTTGAAAATTTACTCTGAGCTTTTTCCCCGCAAACGACATTGAAGCTTGACGTCTTGATATCGCAGACTGGAATTGATAACGGGCTTTCTAATGACGCCTGATAAGGATGGATCAGCCCCATGCGGTGGTAATGTGACGCCGCCGTGTCCTTTGAACTTTAATTTGACCTTTAATTTTACTTTGATTCTAGTATTCTTTAAATCCGAGGCTGTAACAGACAACGTGCTTTTTAATGACGCCTTATTTGTAAAAATCCGTCTCATATAGCGGCAATAGGATACTACCCCGTGCTTTGACATTGGAAACTGTTTTTTTACCTTTCTTTCACTGCAATCGACCTTGAATTGTTATGCATACAGATGCGGTGCGGACTGCCTACATGGCTAGTTGACCTTTGGAGGTGGGTCTTTTCGAACAAAAATGGCTCTCATTTTTGTAATCAGCGGGCTGTATTTGGCTTAGAATCATTTTAAGCGGAATCGGTACTCGACGCTGAATTCGGACCCTTCGAATATGCTTTCATTGATGCGCTGCCAAAAGATGTCGAATTATAGCCCAATTTGCGGTTAAACGCACGCCAGAGGCCAAAATGTGCCGGACCCTAGTCATCGCCATTTCAACTGCAGCCCCTGTACCTTTATGCGTTGCTCCCTATGACGTCACAAGCACCGACGTCACAAGCACCTATGACGTCATAAGTACCGACATCATACATAGGCCACATCCATCAAACCGTACGAGCTGCACTGACGCACTTACCTCCGACGTCATAGGTCGCAACTTGTGGACAGCTGTTGGTGATGGAGGGCACAGCTCAGATGTGGGCACGTACAAGTCCTGACACCACCGCTCACCACCCGCGCGGCTGTTTATTCATCTGCCCCACGCGGACATGCTCCAGCCGCGACTCGGTCGCGCGCTCCGGGCGCTCGATAGCCGCAGTGTCGAAGACAGCCGCCAGGTGGCAGGGCGGTAGCAGTCACGGGGCCGGGCCGATGGAGCCGCGTCGCAAGATTGCGGGCGTGCCCGGGATCGTCACTCTGAATTACGGGATCATGATTGGCTGCGACATGTGTGCGGAGCCGGTGATTGGTCAATAAAGCTTACAGCATCGTCGGGATGAGACGGCGTTTGGATACATATCACCGTCCGACGTCCCCTGCGTGAGTTCGCCGCATCCTGCAAATTTCGCGATTGTTTCGTGGGTAGCGACATGCTCAATGCACGCGGAATACAATGACAGGAGGCTGGATTGCGGTGGCGGTTCGTGAGCGTACGTGTCGTCCGAAGGGGCGCTGCGAGGAGTCCCGACCCCAGGTGTGCACCCACAGCTTGTGCTTGCGGGTGCGGACTCCCCTTCAAGTGGTCTCACACCAGTGTATCATCATAGACTGATATCACGCCATTACAGTCTCTGTGTATCACCTCATATGCGGAGCTATGGTTCACACCACGGGCGAAGCGATGCACAAGCTGTTTGGATGCCATAGGGATCCTTCTGTCCATTTGTTCACCCAAACATATGATTTTGTGTAAGACTGGTGATGGAGCTGTAACTGCGACTAGCAGTGGAGTCATACCTCAGCTTCACATCCTCAGTTTATAGCGTTCATCACTCCCATCAGCATACGGCGTTTGTCATCCCTACCAGCATATAGGGTTTGGCGTCTACATGCTATGGATTACAGAGTCTCGGTCCACACCATCAGCATACACTGGTAATACAAACCCTTCCTGCTTTGCATGCGCCCTTTCAATCTTGCAGACATCTGCAGCGGAACTGGTGGGCATCTCGATCTATTTGTCACGAACATTGACTGGGAGCGGCATCCAGATAATACTGGCTCATTCCAAAATGGTTTGATACGTTATTATCGATACTAGAATATACCTCCACCAAAACAGTACATCAAACCTGTGGGGCAATACCATTTTCCAGAGCATTTGGCTGCATCTCAAGCTGCAGTACGCACGTTCCGTCCACATTGCGTACTTCTTCATCACACAAAAAAAAAACATGAAAACGGGCAACACGCAATGAGCAAAAGTCACACACCTGACATCCACTTCATTGACAAGAAGCAGAACAGTGAACGCAGGCCACATTTGTTCCGGCTCCTTTTCTCTCTTAAGGACAGTCTGCTGGAGCCGTGCTCACGAGCGCGGCGCCAGCGCACCGCCACTCTCGTGACATTAGCAGTGTGGTGTATGTTTACAGGGGCTCCTAACCGTACCAGCTGCAGCAAGACCTCGTCCCATACGTCTCCCGGAACGCCGCCACGGTGTTAAGCTCGTCTCATTTGTCTCCCCCCCCCCTTTGTGTTTAGCTCTTATCATGCGTCTCCCGGACTGCCCCCATGCTTGCTCGTCCCAGCTGTTTCTCGGACCGCACCTTTGTTAGCTCGTCCCATTTCTCTTCAGTCAACCCCCCCCCCTTCCCCTCCCCACGCCGTGTTTAGCTCGTCTCATATATTTTCCTGGTCGCCCCCCCCCCTCCCCCCCGTTTTCAACTCGTCCCACGTGTGTTTAGCTCCGGCCTTGCGTCAGGTCCGAAGCCGCGCGTACCCGGGGGCCGAGAACACGACCGGCTCCGGCCGTGTCGGGTGAGACTATGCCTTCACCTGAGCATGAGGGCGTGGCCGGGCGAGCACGAGGGCGCCGGCGATACCGTGGACCCGGCCGCCGGCGCGGTCCGGACTCCACCGCGACCCCGGATGTCTGCCTGTGGGCCCTTGGCCTCGGCGTAGACAGAAGCGGCGGTGGCGAGGGCGGATCAGTTGGGGCATTTGGAGCTGCGGTCGTAATGCGCGAGTCTTTTTTTAATCGACGTCGTCTACCTTTTTGCAGTTTGTGGGAGTGCAGTTGGCAAGACTTCAACGACGCTTTACATTAGGCTGCATGTTATGGCTGTGGCTAAGGATGGCCTTCTTGATGCACTCAGACATGCACGTCGTCCCGCGCTTCGCGTCCCCGTTCTGTTGTTGATCGGCTGCTTAGCAACAACTCCGAAATAGCTGATGACTAATGCCGGGCTTTCAGGCCGTTGTGAAGCGGGCGCGGTGTGCTGCAGTGCACCACCGAGTACCTGACCTCGGCGCAGGGTCACGTGACGGCCGCGGGGCTGGCCAGGTCACGGTGCGGGTGACCTAGAGGTGGGGCTAGGTCGTCGGGGTGTGACCGGAAGACGGCTGCTTTGCTGGCAGTCACACTCCACTAAACTCAGCACTTACAACCCCATGCTACCACCTTTTGTGTAGCGTGGTGTTAAAGAGTAGGCACAGACCTCATCGTTCGAAAATCCAACGTGTTCCTTGCCTGTGAAAATAAACGCCACCTGTAATAGTTTTTGTTCGCACTTTCTGACAGCGAAACACCGGTTTACAACTCAGTAGGCAATACAATTGTGCCCCATCGTCCCAAAAGTGATATCTCTGTTCGTATACAGGAGTCTAGACATTTGTGCGTGATCTTTTTTTCGACCGCACCGTTTTATTTCAAGATTTTTTTTCCAGCCTGCGCGACACCGTCCAGTCATGTAGCCGTGCAGCCGGGCAGCGAGGCAGCGGGGCAGCCGTGTAGCCCTGTAGCCGGGCAGCCGTGTAGCCGGGCAGGGGGGTAGTCATCTCACCGAGCAGGCGGGCCGAGGAGAATGAGATGAGTTGTGTGTAGTAAACATGTGGGCACCACTACCACGTAAACATGGAGTTGAGGAATTCAAAGGAAGCTCGTCTTTTTCCGCTCTGTGCGTTGCACTCACAAACGTTGCACGTTGGTTTATTTGAAGAAAGACCACATTTCACGAATCGTCCACCTGTCCGCAGACAGCCCTGCATCGGACGTGCAGCGGCTGCCGGCCGCCTCGCACATCCTCCATAGCGCGCTCCAGGTGGTCACGGTTCTGCCCTGTCCTGACATTCTTGGCTCAAAGCCAACTACTGCCATGAGGCCGCAGCTTAGGAAATCACGCAAACGAAATTGCGACCTAGGACGACGAATTAAACACGTTCGCACGCTTCGCGCCGCTGCCGGCACTAACTCCATCCTGTGAACGGAACACCGCCCTGTATCGTCACTGTTCACACGCGGAGAAGCACAACTCCGCCATGATTCCCCGAAGCGCGGCGCCGCGTCCACAACGCTTCAGTCCGGCACCCCTCGACACGACGCGCGCGCCACCTGGATCAGTTTTGTGTGGGGGCCCGTACGGCCGACTCAGAGGTCGCTGATGTACCGGCTCGCCTCCGGAGACATGTGCAGCACGCCCGGCGCCACGCGGTAGCCGCTGTAGTTGTTGGGCAGGGCCTGGCCGGCGAAACCCTCTGGAAAGAAAGTCATCGATCAGTCAGACTCTCCCGTTAAAACTCTCAGGCTCAGTCATTTGGTTTGGAAGAGCACACAGTGTGATTGGTTACGCCTGAAATCACCAGCGAAGATATTGTGATGGTTTACTGGCCTCTCAAAAACGCCATCGGACTTCTGGCTTGAAAAGGGACAAAGCTAAGATGAACGTGTGAATTCAGTGAAGCCCCCTCCCCCTTCCCTCCACCAAGAATGCAAAAATGAGTGCTTGTGCTCGGTATCCACCGACAATAGACTTCTTCGAAAAGCTCCGTGCATTTGAAAGGCATATTCTTGCGCTAATAACGGTTTTGCAAGTGGCTTTGCCCCGCAAACCATTTTAAGTTTTATATTCGCACTGAAGACATCATGCAAGTGTCTTCGGGGGCAGGCATGTGGGTACACATGGGCACGCATGTGCTTGTTGTGTTAGATGCTCGAGCTAATGGAACGTAAGTGTGCCATCAAAGTGCATCGCCGTCGTAATTTGAACTTGCTTAGACCCCAATGCGACATTGAGTTCAAATGCACAATTGAGCGATATTTTGAAACACTCCCGACTGTAGTGCGGCTACCGTCGTACTTCTGCGAAACAGCAGACAAACACTCCAGACTACCTCTCTAATCCCTCAGACTAAAACGGTCGGCGATCAGAGGTCTTCACGTCCCGACATTGTCAGCCGACAGGCGCCGACAGCCATCCGGCACCATCCGGCGCGCTCTCCCCCCTCCCCTACTTCCCCCCTCAGCCAGGCCAGCGGAGGGCTGGTATCAGCCATCGACTGGGAATTCAGCCGCGGGCTATTCCTGGTCTGGCCGACTGCCCCAGAGTACACAGCGCTGCCTGGAAACTGGGTCTGGAGCGGCCAGACGGCGGCTGGCAGGGCCAGAAGCCCCTGGAATGAGCCAACGCCGGAGACGGCGGCGGCGTGCGGGGGTGGGCACACTGAGGCTTGTTGTCATACAAGTTTGGATTGTCGCAGTCGTGGTTATACGCAGCTAGTGCAGTCGTGGTTTATCGCACCTCACCACTGTAAGCAGTCGCGGTTTACTGCAGCTCACGGCTGTATGCAGTCGTGGTTTACCGCAGCTCACCACTGTATGCAGTCTTGTAATCATGTCAACGGCTTATGAATGTGGACTGAAGAAGTATTTTGCATGCAGCATTGTACAGTTTATATATATATATATATATATATATATATATATATATATGTATATAAAACTGGTCGTCGCTATATATAGATATACAGATAGAGAGAGAGAGAGAGAGAGAGAGAGAGAGAGAGAGAGAGAGAGAGAGAGAGAGAGAGAGAGAGAGAGAGAGAGAGAGAGAGAGAGAGAGAGAGAGAGAGAGAGAGAGAGAGAGAAGAGAGAGAGAGAGAGAGAGAGAGAGAGAGAGAGAGAGAGATATATATATATATATATATATATATATATATATATATATATATATATACTGTACATTGCTGCATGTGAAATACTTCTTCAGTCCACGTATATATATATATATGTGTGTGTGTGTGTGTGTGTGTGTGTGTGTGTGTGTGTGTGTGTGTGTGTGTGTGTGTGTGTGTGTGTGTGTGTGTGTGTGTGTGTGTGTGTGTGTGTGTGTGTGTGTATATATATAAACTCACGTGCTTTCCGGCTGAGCTTGGGCGTCTGGATGCGGGCAGGGGGCTGGTCGTCGCTGGTTTGACAGTTCTCGGGGGGCCACTTCAGGTCACCGCGGGCGCGGGGCAGGGCCGTCACCACTGGCTGTGCTTGGTACACCTAGGGGTCAGTTCAGGTCAGGTCAGGTCGGGTCAGCATGGCATTGCTGACATCAGTGTCTCGCTCACATACCAGCACATGCGACAGGGCGGAGTTGCGTGACGCGAGCAGGAGGAACGCGCAACCGCAGTTACAATAAGTGTACGCGATGCAAAATGGCTAAACCATTTAACACAAAACATCCCATTATACGTCGCTGAATCTGAGCCCGGTAGCCAACATCGCGCATCGTTCGCTTTCAACGATGCAAGGACGAGAAATATCGGCACAGTCAATAGGGCCCGTGCCAACATGACCGGGCTGAAGATGAATCGTTCCATGACAGAAGTCGAAAGCAAGCATTTTCAGCGTTTTATAGAGTTAGGATGTGGCTGTGAGCTGGAAATGTGTCGTGCATTTGCACAAAACTAACGCGTCCCTCTTCAGTAAAAAGTTACAGGGGAGCATTTTCCCACGGAGCGTGAGCCGATATGACGCATACTAACCGGCGGTGCCTCCTGGCGGACAGGGAGCTCCTGCTTGAGGACCACTGTCTGGCTGGGGTCGTTGGGGGCGCTGCATGCTGACGACGAGCGAGAGTCGTTCTGAAACGAGCCGGTCGCTGGTTACGGACCCTCCATCGGCGACCGCTGTCTGGTCCCGCCTATAGTGGGTGCGCGGCGAGTGTGCGCGCGTTAGGAATATTTTTGCATGACACGCATTGTTTGTACGCACATTGTAGTCAAGCTAGTTTGGCATGAATATTATACAATGCTGCGCGAGTCCCGACCCTAAATCAGCTTCCGCTAAAATTACGCCATCTTGCAGTGTTCCACGTATTCACAGTAATCGGCATACCACGTATTCACAGCACTATGCATGCCACGTATTCACAGTAATATGCATATCACGTTTTCACAGCAATAGGCATAACACGTATTCACAGTGACAGGCATACCACGCATTCACAGTAATAGGCATACCACGTTTGCACAGTGATAGGCATACCACGCGAGATTTGTCACAGCATATGCGACTTTGAAAGTCCACATCAAATGCGCGTTCTTGTATAGACTGACCTCATTTCGTGGCGGCCATGCAACTGTCTTGTCGGCTTCTGCAAACAGACATCAGCACGGTGACATTCTGGATATCATAATGGTTGTCACACAGAAAGTACTTGGCTTTCGGGCTCATTTGTTATTTTCAACCACTTTAGCTTGCTATTTTGCTAGCTTTTTTTTACTAAAACACCAAATAATATAACAGCCTCAAAATTCATAAGACTTTTGACTACGCTATTAAGCAACCGCGTTTCTTAAGATATAACTATGCGATTAACAGCAGACATAAACACAAATAAGTGAGGCTCGAGGGAGGCGCTCATTGGCTTTTCAAAGTCTATATTGGCTAGCCTCTAGACTGCCGCCTCACAAACGCAGCCGCAGCATCCTGAAAAATGACGGATTTGTTTGGACAGGCGCCGATGCACCTGCTTGGCTTTCAGCTATCATAATTAGGCCTCGGGAGTTTGGCTGCCAGAGCCGCTTTGGCTGGCGCCGCTCGGCCGGATGTCCCAGATTCGGATTCGCCCCACGTATCCAATCAAGTTAGAGTGATCCGAGATGCGCCAGGTAGCGCGGACGTTGCGCGAAAATCGTGCGCGGTTTTCAAATTGTGGCATGTGTGAGTATGTCATGCGGTGTGACACGTGCGCATCTCTTGAAGTTCGAGAGCCACACGCAACTCTTACGTTATCCTCCGAGCCGCATGCCGTTCGTGTACGTGGATCCCGCAAATCGTAGCACGGTAAAAACAAGGGTGTGCTCGTAGCGACCCGGACGACAACAAATATTTGCCGTTGACGTCAGTCATGACGTCATACCCATAGATTCTGCGCCCTTTGGTGTTCGGAGAAGCCCGGACAGCAAGGGTTTTACGTGACGTCACGTAAAACCTATACCGGGGGCACAAAACCTTTTACCGTCACTTGATCGAAGTAATGCAGAATTTCCACAACAGGTTCAATTACAAACACGTCAGTTTCGCCGAAATATCGGCCTCGCTCGTTCACATTTGTCAGACAGATTTGTGCTGTGCCAGTAAAGACATGAAAGATTCCCATTCTTCCCCGTCCTCATTCCCCCGCGTGGAATAACGTTTTCACCCCACACATTTACCCCTATAATAATAAATGCCCCGCTCTCTTCGTCTCGCAGAACAAAACGATAAGCAGCCGCATTATACCATGAAAGCTGCACCCAAAGTACGGGGCAAGTCCGAACAGTGGAACCCACCAGCAAAACCCAGTCATGAACCGTCATAAAGTTACCCTCACCGCCGTCAGGCGGTCACCAGCCTTTACCAGTCGTCACCAGACTCTAACAGCCGTCAAAATTTGCGCCTATCCGCCATCGTTCGTCAGCAGAGTCATCAGCAGGGACAGCGGGCTTTAGTCGGCGCCTCGGCGCCAACTGGTGTGCCAGCTGACTGACACGGTGTCAGCTGACCCGCCAGCTGACCGTCAGCCCCCTCTCTGCCCTGCCAATCCCTGGGCGGTGAATCAGCGAAGGGTCTGCATGGCGGAGCAGCCGTGGGCCCGGCTGGCAGGCGGCGCGTCCCGCTGATAGAAGCGAGGCTGATGCGCGCGTCACCAAAACCGATCATTCCCACCGTCTGTCGTCACGGTGTAAAATTTCAGCGGAAGCAGCAGATGCTGAGTGCTCTCAGCATGGGTATATGAGCTTGAGTATGCCTATGCATAGATGACAATGCTTTATGAGCGAAGGGAGCTGGATGAGCTATTGTAGGCAGGAAAGAGATCGCGTTACGGTCGCATTTTCCTTCGCTACAAAACATAACGCGATTGTTAGCTTTTTGGACAACTTAAGGAAAAGTTGAGGTTACCCACAAGGCAATCGTTTGGTCTGTTCAACACCACTTTCTGGTGTCGGCACATTCAGAAAACTTGACAGCACTGTTTGATCAAACACCCGCTTGTATGGAGCTGGCTCGACGTAGAGGTCGTTGAAGGCGCAGCCTCGCAGCTGAAGACACGTCAGGTAAGCGGCCGGCAAGCCAATAACGCGCTGTGCTGTAAGGTATGCTCACCAAGGTATGTAAGGTCATCCTCACCTGGTATGCGTGTGAAGAAGGACGGCTCCTTGGGTCTTCTGTACTCTTTGGGCGGCCACACCGCGTGCAGCGGGCGAATCTCGGGCTCCAGCATCGTCATGGCGGGGGCCTGCCTGCGAAGAGAGAGACGATCGGGCCATCATGGTGGTGCCATCTGGTGTGGGGGCTACTCGTGAAATCCAGAATATTCGTGGCAGAGGCAGGACAGGGAAGGACAACAGTGTCATTACAGCAAGATCACGACCCATGACAAAAGCTTGAATCCAGCAGTGATGTCAGAGAGGTATGTAAGTGACTAATTATACTTCATGATTGCTTGATTGATATACTTGACTAGACTATTGATAAACTGGACTAGACTATTGATATACTTGACTAGACTATTAATATACTTGACTAGACCATTGATATACTTGACTAGATATACTTCATAATGCCACAATGCCTTGCCAATGCCATAATGCCATATACTTCATCATGATTGGCAACGGAGTGCGTATGTCTCCGACATTGCCGCCATGTGGACCTGTCGATGTGTGTGATCATGAGATCGGAAACACCTTGATGACTTTTATCTATGGTTGGAGTGTATCAGAGCCTCCACGTGAAGCCCGGCAACGGATGACGACCTTCAGATGTGAACAAAAACACTTCGAGTGTCGTCACGAATCTCCTGAGGAGGCACTGAGAGCTTCCGCAGAATGGCTGTCAAAGTGGAGGTATCGTACACCCATGGGACTTCTCTCGTCCACTGCTCTCACAGTGCGCGTTACCGGTGTTTCCCAGCTGATCCACACGTGTGGAAGCGTCAGCTGACTAGGTAACCTGTTTGGGTGGGGATGTGCTGGCTCGTTGTACGACGGCGAGTCCTCCATTTGAAATTGCCCACGCCGGGCCGTGATCGCTGTACAATGCAGCCAATACCGTCCGCTTAGGTGCGTCGGCTGAGCGGTGATCTGCCGCTCCGGCAGGCTCAAACCTTCACAGACTGACTCGACGTATCTGCACATCTGAGCGGTCTGCCACCCACAGTTTATCCGCCTTGAAACGCATCTCATCACTCATCACCATCATCATCGCTCTGCTCTACAGGACCATGGCACCAGGACCGTATCACCAACCCAAGTAAAAAAACAATGGTGCTAGTCGTTAGGACCAAGGCCATTTACTACTGCGAATATAAACACTGGTTGTTTCATGGATAGGAGACTACACCAGTGATGCAATATTCCCTTGGACGACCCATGCGCTCAACTGTTCTGACCTATGTGCCCCTCCCCATCCTCCCAAGCCCCAGGCAGAGGGAATGGTATCCTAAATTGGATGAAGGGAAGGGGGATGAGGAATAGCCCCTTTGTCTTTTTTTAAAGGACGTCTTTATGTGCAATGCTAAACCATCAGAACGTTGAGGAAATGGTAATGGGGGGGGGGGGGGGTTGGAGGCTTAGCCCTCGGATTCCTCCAGTTACCGCGCCCCTGCACCCAGCTGGATCGTTAACCCGCTGGGAATTTTGCCGTCCGTCACCCCTGGTCCGGAGGCAGGGCCGGTCATTTAACCCACCTGTGTCGCTGCCCTGTCCTCGTCAGCTGACCGGAGCGCTGCTCTGCCTCGCCGCTGCACACTCGCCTGACCCAACCTGACCTGACCACGGCCGACGCTCGACTGTCTGCACCGCCGGCCGGTCTCGCCAAATATCCGCTGGCGGCGCGGGCTGGGGCGGCGGCGTGCCGCCGGCCTGATTCAGGCCCGGGGCGGCGCTGGGGGAAGGGCTCCTGGCTGCCGCCCAAGGCGTGACTCACGGCTCTGGCGAGAGAACTTGACCCAGTGGGAGGACACCGGACCGCCGCCGGCTGGCCGACGGCGGCCGGGGCGGGGTCACCTGGACGGCGCAGGGGGCTTCAAACCGGGCGGAGCCGCTTCGTTGGACCGGAAGGCTCCGCCGAGTGAGTGGGTCAGCCAGCGGCGGCCGGTGAGGGGTGCGGGCGCCCGGGTTGGCTGTAGAGTACACCAGACAAGTGGGATGGCATGGGCACCTCTCATATCGCAGCCGGTCACTGAGTCATCGTAAGGTCGCTCCCGGGAGAACATAGAGCGACGTTTAACGCTCGCTCTGACGATCATTTGGCAGCTGGCCAATGGAGCTTGGCTGGAACAGGGGCGACCCCGTCCTGGCGGTGTGTAGCTCGTCGACCTATTTCCGCAAAAAAACTACCGTTGGCTCCAGTGTGGCTTTGGTTTCATGGCATGTTTGGCAAGGTGTCTAAGGGATCGAGGGAAGATGGTGCAAGGTGCACGGTTTCTCGAGAACGCTTGGCCAACTTTACCTACAAGAACTTTAACCTGCAAACTTTTTTTACTTTTTGATTTTCTTATTTTTACTTTCATTTAAATTATTTATATTATTATTCAAACTTTTTTAAAAACTTTTTTACAACCATTTTTTTAGAACTTTACCTACAAGAACTACAAACTTTACCCGCTTGTCGCCCCCACATTGTGTTGCGTGTGTACGCGGCAGCCATCCGCGCACTAGCCGCAGAAGAATTGCTGCACTGATTCAAGCAAGGAGAAGCGTGCCGACCGACCAGGGCATTCGCCGATGACGATGAGGGTGGTGATAGGTTTTCAAAATACGCTGACTGCTATGGAAATCCTGAATTCGTGATTACTAATGAGTAACGTGGCGTGTTTGAAGCTGAAGATCACGTAAGTTAGATACGCAAACAGACAACAGTTGACCCGTAGCAACCAAGTGAAAGCTGTTGTCAAGAATATCAGAGCAGGTAAGAGCAGGAGAATCTTGTCCGTGAGGAAAAGGTCGGGAGCGCTTACCAAACCATGAACTGGTCTGCGGCTGAGCACAAGACGGTGAGTACCGTGGAGTGCATGCAACTATCAGCTGCGTTTGCATACGGCGACGGCGAATCTCCTTAGGAGCTCTGCAGTGGGCTCAAAGTTGGAGTCATTCGACTTGTCAAATATTCATCTCCATGCAACGCCCATTGCATGATTGCATTGAGAAGGACACTATTCTGATCATCATCGTCCCGTTACTGATATTGTCTGCTGGAAAATATTCCCGGATACCGTCAGCTCATCATGGACCAGATTTCGCTCTGCGATTTAAGATGCAGTTAACAGGCCTCAACATAGCTTTCGGGCATTGCAGTCTCTAAGGACGCCAGGCAGCATGTTCTGGTGTTTAACACTGCCTGATGTGTGAGCCCGGCCTTTCGGGCCGGGAAAAGGCCATTTGTCAGCAGCGAATGCGTAACATCTGTACGTTTAACGCCGACAAATTCCGACTCGTTAATATCGGGCCACGTCCCAGAGAGGCGGCGCGATGGCGGAGCCAGCGCATCGAGGGAATCTGACCGTGAAAAAATTTCAGCGCGGTTGGAGGTGTCCAGAAATCAGCATAAGCAACTGTTCATGCCAAAGTTAGCGGTCAATGGTCTAAATTTGCCCTAAAATTGCCGGTACCAATTACATTTAAGAATACTTGAAGCCGCATTAGTTGACTCACGGAAATGGTACCGAGATAGAAAAGTAGGGAGGTTCGCAATGTCTGCAATACAGGCTGTGCCCAGACGTAAACGCCGGATAAATTCAGATGCTCATAAGACGGTGAGCATGTTAGCGGGACTGAGGCGAGACCTTTCCGAACTGCATCAGCACCGTATCCTGAGCGTCATGTCGTCCATATGTCGCCCAGCGCGCACAGGATGCTGATGAGGAACGGGCCCGATCTGGAGGGCCTCGAGCAGTGGCCCAGGAGCATACCCAGGACAAGGTAACCAAGGATCCTGCTGACATCTCTCCAGGCGCGCGCAGGATGCTGGTGAGGAGCGGGCCCGACCTCAAGGGCCTCGAGCAGAAGCCCAGGATCGTGCCCAGGACAAGGTACGCAAGGATCCGGCTGATGTCAGACAGTCTGACAGCGTCCGCGGCGGTCATCGATGACGGTCATGGGATCTCAAGGTCGTGGTGTTGGCGCGCGATAGGCAAGGTCGCGACCTTCCCGGAAGCCCGGTATGACGCAGCAGAAGACCGTTTGAAAGCTGGTGCTGGGGAACTCTTTTACATTTGATGTTGGATTCGTGGATCGCCCACTTCGACTCATAATCACTCCTGCCACTTTAAAACGCTCATAGATCAGTGCTCTGGCAGTTGTGGGGCAAACTGATTTTTAAATTACCCATTATATTTTAGTGCCTTCAATCCCACGACTCAATCACGCGGAGGCCACTGTTTGCCTAGTGAGTTTATATTCATGTCCATATCCGTATTGAGAATGTGTTGCAGGTATACTGGATCGCAATGGTGATTCCCAATGTTTCCTTCTTTACGATTAGCTCTACGCATCGTTAGATAGATAAGCGGCTTTGTTGATACCCTTTTTTTTTGTAAACCACACATCCCCATTAAGCACACGCCCAATGCAGCTACTAGTTTCTCTGGTCTGAACCGCTTAACAAACATACGGAGTTGTCCCCCTACCACTCATCAGTATCTCGTGCGCACCAGACCTAGTTTTATTGACGGCCTTGTGCAGGGCCCGCCTCGACTGCGGGTACCCAGCCTCCCTTCCTGATCTAAGTTGCCTGCTGTCGCACGTGTTCCGGTCATGCAGCCTCGACTGCAGGGCCCCAGCCCCATATCTCGACCTGCGGTGCCCGCTGTCGCGCATGTGCTGATCTTGTAGGTCCGACACCAGGACCCCAGCCCCGCTTCCTGACCTACAGTGCCGGATGTCGCGCGTGAGCCGGTTTTGTAGCCTCGCTTCGGTCCCTTACGGGCCATGGCGTAGCGCCGGTGACGACAGCTGGTAGCCGTGACCTAGTGGGCTCGGCAGCCAGGTCAGTAACCGAACACGTCTGACCCAGTAACCATGGCCGCCGGCGCGTCGACTGGCCCCCAGCCCTAGGCCTTGGGGCTAACTCACCCGCCCGAACAGACGGTGACGGCGCGCTGGGATTCCGTACGTCAAATTCGTGTTGGGAGTGAGTTAAATCATTGTGACAGACGTATTCAAGGTAGGTGATGACGTCACAAAAGACCATGTATAGATTTTTCCGATACATGATGGCCAGATATAGCTTCTTTGAGTATTCTGACCCAGAACGACCTATATGAAAGGTCAAGTCAACATTTTGAAGCGACATGGCGGTTGCCGAACACTTACGTTCCGCACATGCACAAATCCCGACAGCATATACAACTGAAATCATTTGGGGCGATGTTTTTATCCCACGCACGTGCCTAGGACACGATTACCATGTACGTTGTTGAGCACTAGAATCTGGACAGGCCCATGATGCCGCTCCCTCCCCTCCCACACACCCTCGCCGCACGCAAGGCGCCAAAACAAACGCTATTTGTCAACACGGGCCAGTCCCAAGCCCTGGCAGCATCGTCATTCAAACTGGAGGCTCCGGTGTCGTTGGGTTAACCTACCGCGTCGGGAAGGACGTCACAAAAGCAGGACCGAAACGCCGTCGCACACGTGGGCGTGGATGGCTAGGCTGAATATGGAACGCGGTGCAGCCGCGCGTAAAGTGAAAAACAAAAGTTAAGCGCCGGATTCTGAAACGTGCTTTCCAAAAAGCACCATTGATTCCGAATCTCCAACGTCCTTTCGTGAAACTCCAGAAAGGTTTTTCTGAGCATCAGAATGTCCTTCAATAAAATGCGTTATGAAGTTCTAGATCGCAGAAAGTCATTGACGGCTCCAGCAACGATTCGGGGTCGTACGGTTAATATGAGTTCTGAGGCACGCGACAAGCGAATAGTCACGTGATCAGGCTCTTCACCGTTGGCGGGAGTGGGGGAGGGGGGGGGAGAAGGGGTCACACGGCCCGCCACGAAGCAAGGTGGCAATTCGTCGCAATTGAAGTAGATTAAAAAACCTAACCTTATGATGTTAGCTTAGGCTTTGGACGGAGCGTGGACCGGACGTCATCAGAGAGCGCTGCGGCCTCGACATTGGAGAGCTTCGACAGCGCTGCCGCCATCTGACACCAGCCCCTGTCACTTTACATCTTGCATTCACGGACTGGAGAATGGGACCAAAACTGGCAATGGAGGTCAGTTAATTTCGTATGGAAAGCTGTCGAAACGAGCACCTTTAGATGACAAAATGTTTAAACGCATTCATTTTGCGGGTGTTTGTGTGACGGCCCCATGCCTGGAATTCCCCCCGCATATTTCGGAGTGAGACAGGCCAACCTACCTGTGCGTCTGATAGCACTTACATAGTGAAGAGGCCGTCTGCCATGACAAGTCTTTGAAAATCCTACAATAGTTAAGTAACTCAAGTACTGATTTTCGATGGTGCAGGCACCTTCTGAAACTTATGACGAGAACCTTGCCTTCTGCAGGGTTTGCCAGCCACCATTGTATAAAATCCCAGGCCCCAAAAGGTGTTTATCATCACTTTCAAACAGATTGGGATCCCGGAGGATCTAGGATGTAGTATTCAAGATGAATACCCCGAGATCCAGTTCTTTAATTCACATAAGGTATCTGCCCACTAGCAGGGCATCAGCACTGCACCTGGCCCACGAGTTCCCCGTTCCTTGATCCCGAATGATATAATCCTTCATCCATTCATACAGGGGCTCCAGCTCTCCCACGCGCAACTGAGCCCCTCCCTTCTTCAACTTGGCGGAGGCGGAGGCCCCTCCCACTT